ATCTGACGATCTGTGCAGCGTGAGGTCTGGCATTATCTTGCATTAGTAAGAAATTTTCACCGATATAAGAAGCGAATGGTACTACATGTTGCTCCAGGATCTCCAATATGTACCTTTCAGCTGTAACAGTTCCATTTTGTATGATTACTAAGTCCGTACGTGCCGTCCAAGAAATACCACCCCACACCATAACGGATCCTCCACCAAAAAATGTAGTGTGTGAGAAGTTCACTGAGCATTTCGTTCGTTGGCTCGTCGCAACACACGAACACGTCTGTCGTTATTGTACAAACAAACTCAGGATTCAGTAAATAGCACAATTAACGTGTTCTCTTGCAAAATGTAATCTCCGCCTTCGATGCTCTGCAGTTAACAGAGGACCTCGGGCGGCAATCCTAGGTGTTAAGTTGTATTCCCTAAGTCGCTGGCGAACAGTTACAGTACTAATTTGTATAGCATGCACGTCTCGAAGCTGAATTTGTAGACTTCGGTGTGTTATAAAACGTTGTTGCAGAGCAGAAATTCTTAAAATTAGATCTTGAATAGGGGTAGTTACCCGGTTTCGTCCTTCCCTTGTCTGCGAGTATGATCCCATGTTTCGAGGAATCTTTCTAACACCCGTGAGACGGATGTGTGAGATACATTAAACCGACGAACAATTCTTCGGTAACTGCAACCTTCTTCCGATAGTATCACTGCTTGGGTACATTCATCTCGAGTTAAATTACGTGATTGACACTCCATAATAAACACAATTAACAATAATCAACAATTAAACAGTAGCTGAATAAAACTCGTGAGCACTTGGAAATTAATATATTTATAGAATTAGTACATGTTTTGCTTAAGCGGGATTTTCCCGGAGTTCCCATGCCCTTGACAAGACGAGTAAGGACTTCTTCATTAGCACTTATCTTACCAATAGGATATATGCCGAGAGGTTTCTACGAGCTAGTATTGTTTCTGAACTTATGCAGCAGCTAACATTTTTAACTATTCTGTTACTACTACTTTACCTATTTACAATATTTACTCTTTACGCTCTCAGTTCTGTTAGCAGGCGACAATGCTTCGTTTGCCATTGCCCTTGGTCTCTATTCACGCCACTGGATCTGTTTCCTCCGTATATCAGCTCAGCAAATTTGACATTACTTTTTTTTTGAGGTTATATAGACCTACATTCTTATGTATTACTTGGGAGATGTTATAACATTTCAATGGCTTCACCTTTTTTTGTGCTACGCCAACAGCAAATCGAAGATTGCTTTTCGTCATCCTACTTTATTGTTTCGTCCTCGTTCGGTACCAATATTTTGAGTGGTGTTATAAATTTGTGCTATGGTTGTTGTTGTTACCTACATAAATATAGTATAGATAACTGAGAACGGCGTAGAGGATGAGGAAATCCGAAAAATGCTTGCTAACAAAGCTTACTTGTCCCTGTCGCAGATGTTTTGCTCCGAAGAGACATCCATAGGGAAATAAAGTTCAAAATATTTAAAACCACCATACGACCAATAGCAACATTACCTTATCAATACCTTGTATTATATTGAGATATAATAAAGATATTGAGAAAGATATTGAGACCCATTTGCGACGATCGTATGTGGAGAATAAAGTTGAACCACGAGATATACCAATATTACAAAGAACCCTCTATAGCAAATTATGCAGAATTACAAAGATTGTGCTGGGCAGGTCACCTTGTAATAATGGATAATAAAAGAACACCTAGTAGAACGGTTAGTGGAACTATGGCTGGACGTCGGCTAGTAGGAAGTCCAACGAAGAGGTGAATAGACAAAGTGAGAACCGATTCTAAAGAGATATTGAGGGTAGATAACTGGAGGAGAGCAGCTAAGGAAAGGGTTGCTTGGAGGCGGATGCTCTGTGAGGCCAGGGTTCGACTTGAGAGAATTCTCGAAGACCAGCTTCTAAAAATATTTTTAAATTATCTAATATTTGAGTGGACAAAAGAATTGGTGATGGCATAAAATAAGTATACTGACCATAATGACAATACACTTGAAAAAAAGGAAGCGAATAATATTTTATGTCAAAAAATTGATGAGATGTGAAACATAACATCGTTCGCTATTCTATCTTTGCCTTTACATTTATGCGGGAAGTTTCTGACTACACGTCTTAATAAGTTTTATGTTGGGTCATACCACTATTTATCACCTTTACAGGTATGTCCTGAATAAATGTCTTGAGATCAGGCCTTTCTTAGTCTTCTTCTGAAAAACAGCGTGTCAATGGATTTAATTATTCATCATAACAAAATTTACGTGTGTTGTTTTATATTCATATTGTTTTATTTCTTTCTATTTCTTTTTTGATACTCACTTGCATTCTAGGAAAGCTGATACTTTCATATAATTTTTATATATAAAACTTTTTCTGTTTTATTTATCTGCGTAATCGATTAATTTTCTATCTTGTGTAAATATATTGATGTGTTCATGTCTTTTGAGTTTTTGTTTTCTACCCACTGATTATCGTCACATCCTCAGAGCGAGGCGAACACTTTATACAATATTTTTACTGGTCGTACCATTAAAAAAAAAAGTGTAGTTTGTTAGATTAAATCTGTCAATAGAGTGCGTGGGAACTCTTTAATCTTAGTAATTGTACACGTAGGAATTGGTTAAAAATCTCATTTGTTTTCTTTAAAGTAAATTTAGAATAAATTGGCAGTATATTGTATTTTCTGTATAGACAATCTATCTTATCTGACCTTGAGGTGACTAGATAAGTTAAAAATATTGACGGTTTCTAAAATTAAAAGTTAAAAAAAAAACAAGGAATTGATATGAATGCGTTTCGGTCGATTTAAAACTAATAACAAGCATCGTTTGGTTTGTTTTTTTTAATATGGCTTACATGTGACCTGTTTTCTCTGTAAAGGTTTAGGGCGTAATTTAAATTTACTGCTTTTTCATTAAAATTTTTAAATATTTACTAATCCAAGGAACTGTTCATTCTTTCAGTTTATAAACATTTACAAGATTAAACCTGTTGCACTAATGCAACATTTGCTTAACCTAACCCAACATCATAAATGAATGGCGGAATTGAAAATTTTTTAAAAAGTTGAAAAGTTCAAGTAAATTAAATTAGTAGGGAGTATTGCGTCGTCTGGCATTTATTACTGTTTGACAATGATCTCTCATACTGAGAATTACCATTCTTATTTTATCTACAACATCTAAAAACAGCTTATCTACTATATCCTAAAAGTGTTCTATTATGTTGGGGTCGGGACTTGGCAGGAAACCATGACAGGAATCCCAATCTCATGACGATATTGCTACACACTTCTTACAATGTGTGGACTGACATTATCCTGCATAAACATGAAATTATCCCCCAATAAATGGTGCAAATGGCACGACATGCTCTTCTACATTGTCTGTAAGACACCTGTGTGATGTAAGCCGCGCGCCATCTATTTTAACTAACTCCATACGAGGCTCCAAATTAATCCCACTCCACACCATTACCGAGCCTGCACCATACTGTACAGTCCCTACAGTATTACACTGCGCGTGACGTTTCCCAGTCCTTCTATACACTCTGTTCCGCCTGTCATCAGAAAAAAGACAGTACCTTGATTCAGCAACAGTAAACAATATTCTTCCCAAATCGTCATTATTCCAAACAACATGTTCACGAGCAAAATGCAATTTTTGGTTTCTATGATCTCTGGGCAATAATGGGCCAGTGGGTGTCCTTCCAGGGCGCAGGGCTTCCAAAAATTCATTTTATAGGAAAGTAATGGTAACAAACCTTTGTCTCAGTGTACGAAGTGTCAAAAACCAGTCTTGGAGTCCAGGAGTTGTAACCCTTCTAAGGCCTTGACTGGGTCTTCTCGAGTTACTTACAGTAACAGTAAAACGTGTAGGTTGTTGGTTCGAATCTCACACAAGGAAGTGTTTTTTATTTAATAATTATTATTAATTTGTAAAATAATTTAAAACATAGTTTGGATTAAAATTTGCTAATAAAATTATATATAGTGGCGACTATTGGATAATAGTCGAACTACAAAAATAATTTGTAAATTAATTCATATCAAAAATGGCTAATTACTGGTAGCGACGACTAGCGGATAATATCACAACTACAGAAATGGTGTAACGGCCGGGATGCGTTGCCATAAACGGCGCGCGGCGCAGAGGTCGGGGGCCTGGTATGACGTCAAAGGTCAAAGTGCGCTCAAGTGGCTTACCCTTTACTCTTAAAATCGTTGACTAAGTTACATTAAACCGATTAGCGAGTTCAACTTGACGATATCCTTCTTCGCGAAGAGTAACGATTCTCATACAGTCACTTTCTGACAAATTTCGATTTTCTTGCTGCTGGTGGTTTATCTTAAAGGAAAAAACATTTAATAAACTTAAAAAAGTCTTTGAACATTCAACAACGTATTCCAACTCAAATATATTCGAATTAAAATGAAGCACAACTAACATGTTTGTAATTTTCTTGGAAAAAAGATAAAAATATTAGCTTTACCGCTCTTTCGATAAATTTTACAATATACCGGAGGTAACAATAATATATTATCACAAAAATCGAAACATTGTAGTTGTGTGTGGCATATTGAAGGTCAACTTTTGAATACATGTGATTTTATGGGAACTTGTTGATAAGTATTTGTTGATGAGTTATACAGTAGTTAGAAATAACATTATAATTGTCTCTCTATTTCGGAATATGAAGCGCTAGATTTTTTATAAGATAGTTACTACTGCTTTCTTATGTGGATGTAAAAGCTGGTTAATCACGCAAAGTGGTAACTCTAGAATCCTAGAAAGCCAGGGAAATGAAATTTCTCAAAATAATGAAAATAAAATGATATTGTAACGTTTTGTGGTGTAATGTTTTCTGGCTTTTTAACGTAAATAGCCCACTCTACTTAAGACCACAAAAGTAGAAATTTCGTACTTTTATTGTTTGCTATATTTGCTACACGTTGCCTTTTGTTTCAGAGCGGCACAGACCGAAGTAGCCGATCTAGAATAGGTAGTTCTTCGGACATTCGAAACGAGAACGGAGAAATCGACTACAAGAAATTGTACGAACAGCAACTCGCCGAAAACGACAGACTGAAAGACAAACTCAGAAAATCGGACGAAGAGCTGCGAGAAACCAAACAAACTTTGGAAAAAATTAACTTGGTCGTAAGTATACGCTTATTATAATTGCTTTTTTTAGGAATTACCATGATATAAGGAAACAAGGTATGCTCACACGCATCTATTTTGAACAGCCAATCGCGTTTACGACCAAAATCCGCCAATTTGAAGGCGGCAATTCAAATATGTACAAAATTGATAAAAAATATCGTAGTTAAATAAAATAAAATTAATATTATACATTAATCCAATTAATTCAGATTTAAAATGATCTGAACAGACTCTTGCTAAAATATTTTTTAAAAAATCGAAACAAAACAAAAACAAATTTACTTTTAAATTCCAATACATTGCAAAGTAAGGTTAAAAAATGCAAAACACTTACCTGGACGTAAACAAAGCAGACGTCACGCATGTGACGTATTGAAAAAATGGTGGATTTTGGTCGGCGCATCGATGTTCAAAAACTAGTCCACCTAGTGAGCATACCTTGTTTCCTTATATCATGGAAATTACTCTTTTAGAATTACAAAATACTGTTATTGTGACCTTTTCTATTGAATGTTGTATCTTAATTTTTTTTCGTCGGTGATGAACCTCGATATGTCCATTATTCTCTGTATTTTGGTCTCTCCTTCATAGTAGTTGATCAAGGACCTCTCCATTGTAACTAACCTTGAAGGGACATTTTCTTAGTCCTGTCTATACCGCGTTAAAAGTCGACTGCAAAGTTGTGACTGGCTGAATGGCAAATGCCTATGCCAAAAAAAAAGGTCTTTTTGGGTTTGCAACATTCGCAGTACTCATCTTGCAGCCAATTATTTCATGTATATTTCGATAGTATGTAGTCTTAAATTTAGCGCTTCTTATCTTTAAATTTAAATAAAACAAAGTGTCGCATTTTTTATTCGTTTGAAAAACCTTTCGATAGCATTATGTATGGAATATACCATCGTTCAAATGTCTGCTGCGGCTTCGCTGGTTGGCACGCATCCGAAATATCCAGTTTTCCACGACTCTGTCGCATAAATCTGGCTGAACTTCCATGTTGAATTTGAGAGCAGCTGTGATTTATAGCTTATTCGCATATACTTGGGACTTAAAAAGCACAAGAAAGAGTCTAACGGGGTCAAATCGCACAATCTCAGTGGCCAATTCAATCCCTTCTACCTGAGATGACTAAGCCCTCAAATCGTTATTCCACAATATCCAGTGTGGCATGAGCTATGTGCACGAGTTCCATGAAAATTAGGATCAGTTTCCAACTGCTACAGAGCCCATTCAGTGACCAGACGTCGTTGTATATGGTCGTTTACCTTCAGATCTTCAGAGCTATCTGAAGCATTAGTATCTAAAAGCGAAGGAATAATAATTAACGGAAGAACTCTTAACAATATAAGATATGCAGATGGCATCGCTATTATGGCAAGCTCTACCGAACAACTCCAACTACTACTAAAACAAGACAAACAGCTACTGTAAACAATATGGACTAAAAATGAATATAAAATAGACTAAATTCATTATAATAACAAAGAAAACAAATATACAAATAAATATACATTTGGGAGATATACCGATAGAAAGAGTTGAAAAATACAATTACCTGAGAACTGGAATTTCAGAAAAAAAAACGATCAAACAACAGAAATAAGGACCAGGAAAGAAATAGCAAGAAATGCATTTGTATAAATTTAAACAATTTTCTCCAACAAGACGTTCCATCAGAACTGAGAGTAACAGTTCCGAGGTTGTTACGTGTTTTCGATATTACAATATGGGCTTGAAAGCTGGACACTGAAGCAAGAACACATAAATAGTCCAGTCGTCAGAGAGTTGACCCCTAAAAATTATACGAACAAGCTGAATTTTACCTAGAATACTAATTTTGGGACCCTAAAAAAATGCAAAAAAGTTTACATCTTTTACCCCCGGGCTTCCCTCTAAAGCTCCCCTCGCAGGGGGTAAAAACGCAGAAAAATCGAATTACCAAGAATCTAAAACGGGAAAAAAATGTTTCAAATAAAAAATGTAGCTGAGATAATTTCAATCAAAAATGTTTATACGCATTTTTTATGTAGAATGAACCGTTCACTTAGAAACAACGCGTAAAGCGACCGTCGATTTTGTATGTCACTTACTATGTTCAATAAAATTTGTATCAGCTCGACGGTAAAAATTCGATAACTTTTGATTCATGTAACCTATCGACAAAGATCAACATGCATTTTAAAGGTAAAGAGTTTAGCTTCGGTATGCGGTTTTGTATTTTGCCGCAAATAAACTCAGATTTTATACAGGTGTTAGTAATTCTTCCATAGATACCTCTGGATTTAACATTATTATGAAAAAATCAACCTATGTTGACATAAGTGAATGCATAGCCAGGGTTTAGTGATTTTTTTGTTGAAAATAAATAAAGAACTATACGGGCAATGTTTTTAATTATTATTAATAAAAATGCCATATTAATTAATATGGGAACTTCAATAAAAACATGCAGGGTATAATTTGTTTATGGTAATCGAATTAAACTCCAAATTTCATAGGTGGGCCAACTGATATGAGAAGGGGCTCGTATAGTACATACATATAAACCGAATGGGCGAAGACAATTATTTAACAAAACAAATAATAAACTGAAAATCAAAAGAAAAGGATAGAGAAATCTGGCACAAGATGTCAACAAAGATAGAGAAATCTGGCAAATCGTTATTTATATCAAGTGTACTTAGTGATTTGTTCGGTCTTTTGAACGATTTTGAATTAGGGTATTATTGTATATTATATATTGTATTATAGTTTGTATAAAACTGTGCACTTAAAAATAAATATGACGTAACTATTTAAAGTCATTACTAAAAATAAATTTTAGTTTTTTAAACTTTAACCTTAGCATTGTAAATTTTAATGAACATCATTGTGGAATGTATTGGCATTATAATAAAAGAAGGTACAAAATACTTGCAGTTAACAACCAAGCTGCGTGCCAACTTTTCTTTAATTTTCCATGCTTATAAACACGAATTAAAACTTTAATGTGTTGGTACAAATTTCCATAGAATAGTTGTACCATGTAGAACCACTGAATATGTATAGAAGAATGGTGAGACTCGAATTACTCAATATAGCTCTATATATATATATATATATATATATATATATATATATATATATATATATATATATATATATATATATATATATATATATGGGAGGAATATGAATGGGAGATCAAGGGAAAATATGATGTTATATGATTTTATATCTGTGTTAGATATCCTGTTAAATTCTACTATACCGACTATACCGACACTGTATATATATATATATATATATATATATATATATATACAGTGTAGGTAAAAGTTTATGGTCGGTATAGTAGAATTTAACAGGATATCTAACACAGATATAAAATCATATAACATCATATTTTCCCTTGATCTCCCATTCATATTCCTCATGCACGCTCATTAGTGAATGCCAGATGATTATTTCCGATCCATCTTATACGTAAGAAACAGCGGCAGGGTTGTCGCTGTTACCGTATTTAAATTAAAACATTGAATTTATTCAAAAAATTGGCGATCAGTGGCGCGGTTATATTGTCATTCAAAACTGGATGATGATATTAAAAATGAAACACTAATTGACACAAATACTGGTCAAAATTTCTTAAATCCGTGAGAAATTTACAGATTCGCATTTATTTGACGAACTTGTACCTAATTTCCACTAAAACAAGATAATTTTGGCAACATCGCCATTCGTTCGTTCTCTTCAATGGTAAACTGCATACGAGACAGGCTGAACGCTATGCTATGTATATAGTAATTATGTATTAAGTATGTAAACTATTAATTTATTTATAACGGCTTTTGAAAATAGGCCAATACCTATAGAAAAAACTGTCTTGGCCATTATTCATCAATTTGAAAAATTTGGTTGTACTAATGGCAGATGTAAAAAAAAGGTAAAAAAAATTAAAATCAAAGTATACTTTGACGACGCGACGTTGCCAAATAATTTTGTATGAAACTTTTTTATTGTGGCGTCATAATGCAGTTTATTATTTTTATTAGAAATAAGGCACAATGTGACTTTAAAATATGCTTATTTTGATGTTAAGATTTGCAATTCGGAAATCGTACTTAAAATACGAAACATTAATAAATTTTATTTATATTAAACGATTTCCGAAGTGGAAATCAAAATGTTAAATTACACTTGTTTTAAAGTAAAATTGTGGCATATTCCGCATAAAAAATAGAAAGCTGTCATTTAAATCAATTCACCCAAATTTGATTATCTTAGGACATTGTTCAGAAGCTAAAAAGACAACAGGTCAAATAAAATCAATAAGTTTGGCAACGTTGAACTTCCCACTGCAGTGGTTAGCGTACAGAGGTGCCACCTTTGTTTGAATTTAAAATAAAATATTGGGTGTCTTTTGGTATCTCTTATAATAACAAATATAACGGACTTTATCACAAAAGTTGATCACCCTGTATATTCTGTCAATATACATTCACTCTGTTCTAATTCTGTATCTAATATGCAGACGATATTACCCCTCTTGAACATATTATACATAGGTTAATTATAGGACTGAAAACAGGTATGATTCATTCAAAAGAAAAATGTTTTATGTATTATGTTTTTTACCAGGCATAAAATGCGTGCACCACCGAATCTAAGTCTCTGTGGACGTACGATATCGGTAGCTAAAGCGTTTTAGTATTTGAGTATGATACTTGACACAAAGTTATTGTGGTAAAATCACATCTTTATCAGAAAATATCAGAAAGCTTAAGCGTGCAACAAATCGCAATTGGGGTGCAACTTCTGGTCTAGATTTAATGTTGTATTTGGAATATGTGTGCGATCCATTATTGAGTACGGATTTTGTCTATACGGATCATATAATATCAATTTACGCAAAATAGACAGACATCAGTGGGATGATATCCTCACCACTGAAAGCAATACTAACAAAATACATATTATATAAGTAATTACTATTTAAATTGGAATAAGCCACAATTAAAGGTAAAAATACGTTTATTGACGTTTCAATTTCCACTTCGGAAATCGAATTTACTATTGTTTGTATTTTGAGAACGATTTCCGAAGTGGAAATTGAAACATCAATAAACGTATTTTTACCTTTAATTGTGGCTTATTCCAATTTAAATAGTGATTACTTTAAAATGTTACAAGAAAATAGCTTCAGAACAATACATACTATACAATTACATGAAATATTCAGTGACATCCAACTGCTCTTCATCATCTCCACCCTAATATATTTTCATCTATACTACTTCAATTCATTCTTTTCAGCGGGTGTTTTTCTACTTAAATAAATCATGGACGATAGAGAATCTTATGAGGAAAGGAAAAGTTCTAGAATCTTGAAATTGAGATATACATTCCCCTTGGGCCAACGAAGATCGCTGTTGAATTTGGATCAATAGATAAAAGGTTACCAAAGTTGTAGATAATTCCAGATATATAGAGAGGATATAGATTCTTGAACATGAAGATCCTTCTGAAAGCCACACGTCTGATATCGTTAATTAGCATCAGATCCACGGAGATCTAAATTTATAGTATTCTGCAAACTAAAATAAATTGTTTCGAATGTAATACACCAACGGATTCTTCGATACTCCGTTGTATCGTTTTATTTATTTAATTGTTTGTTTCAGACAAGTAAAAATTCCTTATCCGAACTAGAAAAACGCGAAAGGAGAGCCATGGAAAGAAAACTTAGTGAAATGGAAGAGGAATTGAAGGTATGTACTAATAAGTATTCTTTGTACTTCTTCTTGCACATCATTTCTTGTTCTACACTCTCATTTTTCTATCTTATATAAGGCTATAGATTAGAGCAAATAGATCTACGCTATCTATGTTGAAAGCAAGTTGTCTTTTTGTTTTTTGAGCAATTGAATCGCAATAATAAGCCAAGGCTTGTAGATTTTGAAAAAATGCCATATGAATCCATTTCATACACGATACATCTACACTTTACACAAAAGTTAATTGGGCCAGTTTTTTTTAAGAAAATGCCGTCAGGGTGAAAATTAAATGAAAATCATAGCAAATTCTATTTAAATTAAAAAACAAAGTTCATAAATCGAATATTTTTCAGGGAGGCATAAGTTACCAAAATCGAGTATTGTTTTTTATTATAAGATCATTAAAAATTACTTGGCAGTTCTTCTTATATAATATGTAAAAAAAATATTTCTGACACCTTGCAATGCCCTATCTTCATTGGACGTTGGCAACCACTCTAGCCCTCAATACCTTATTCACGGCTTCCCTAAATAAGTCCAACGGAGTTCTTCCGGTCCACTGTCCTTAAGTCACGAAATACGTCGTCTACCTGGTTTGCTTTTTCTTTTAACTTTGCCGTGCATAAAAGGTTGAAAGATATGGTATTTTTCGTTTCACATCATGTGACTGAAGTATGACAAGTATTGCCTTTGTTTTACCGTTACAAGTAGTAATTGTTGTTGACCTATCCTTTTCACGACAGCTTCATTGGTGACAATATATGTTGAATGATATGACAATACGTAGAATGTGACGATATTCGTCACATTCTACGGTAGCACCACATTTCGAAAGTTGTTATTTTCTACTGGTGCCTTAGACAAGGTCTAAGCTTCCACACCGTACAAAAAAAGTTGAACACACATGACACCTAAGCACTCGCAATTATTAACTTAAATAATACAGAAAAAGGTATATACCCAATATCTTTCTTTTGTCGTATGTTTTCTCCAACTTCTATTTTATCTAATTTGTCCTACATTATCTGAGAATTTTATGAATCCGTCAATCATATCCTATTCTAATCGCTTTTATTCCGTTTTATCTATAGTTTTATTTCAGAGCATCTGCATCTAAGATCAGAATAGTCATACTGATTGCCGTCCTCTGTCTCAGAAATGGCAAGCAAGGAAAGATTTAAATCCCAGTATCCTTCGTGTCAAGAATAGATCCGGTTTACTACTCTATTGATTGTCATTGTAAAACTTTGGTGGTGTAGTGGACGTGATTTATTCTTGACATGCATGAATATTGATTGCGAATTCTACCAGGGTGACGACTTTAAAATTTAGTTGCCCACTAGTAAAGTACCATATTAACAAAGCTTTGAAGCCTAAAAATGTATTTTAGAGATTTAGATATTTCGAAAGTAAAAATCATATTTCGAGAGTAAATACTTGTAATTACCTACATATTTAAACCTGTTTTTAGTTCTGATCAACTTTTTGTAATAATAATTTTCTATACTATCAAGATACGTTATTCTAGAGCAAAATTCATATTTTTTGACGCACCTCATATACGATTCTCATCGTTTCTTTACATACTCTGTCAGACGCAATGCGTGCATCGTTCGCTCACGAGGCAGCAACTGTTTTGATATTCTGGAGCAAAGAGCACCAAGTGACGTTTCGTTATAATGCTACTTTCGGATAACTGGCTAGCCTTAGTGTGCTTTATTTCAAGCGTCTTCATTTTACCCCCAGCCTGATTTAATTCATGGACATTCTCAAGCGGGGGATTTGCTGAGGCGGATATCTGTCAAAAGAATAACGCAGGTGTTCTAAAGCCAGCTCAGTGAGGACAGCAACCTCGCGCAGAGCAAAAGCCTGCTTGATTCTGATAATTATTATGTATATGGACTGCAAAAGCACGGTGTATCGATCCTTTTGGCTTGAAAAGTTGTCAGCAATAGGTGTCAAAAAACTTACACAGGGATAATTGGATTATAGCAGTCATAGCGACGTTGCTCTTGTTGCTTTTTGATCCTTCTATTTCACCAGTAGTTGGATGCATAGGCAAGTACCGTGAGCTGGATTTATACAGTCGTGAAACAGATTAGGATGACTGGTTGCGGTAATAATCCTGTTCAGTACGAGAGGAACCGCAGGTTCGGACATTTGGATGACGCACTTACTCGAGCGGGCAATGATGCAAAGTTACCATCCGTGGATTAAGCCTGAACGCCTCTAAGGCCTTATCCTCTCTAGTCAAACGGAATAAGTGAGTTGTTAGTACTATGAAAGTTATCTTGTGAGTTCCGAGAGTCTAATGGCCCAAAAACAATGCGACTTTGCTAGACAATCATAATTCGATACAATTTTCGCACCGAGTCCTTATTTTAGTTGAGATTATCGGTTTGCGGTGAGATAATTTACGTATTAAGAGTCGATCCTTGTCCGTAGACATCTTTCGATATTGGAAGTCGGAATTGTTTGTCGACGACTTTCGCACTAGCAGGATGTTGTAGCTGGTAGAACATATTCCACGTTGTTCCACCTGTGGATTCGTCTTGTTGATTAGACAAGACCCATTAAAAAAATAAAACAGGTTGATATCTGATGGTTCCATTTTAGGTTATTTTCCTAAAGTGCAAAGTTTCTGCCTAGTATACAGAACTTTCGCATTTTCCATTAGTTTAGGTTATTCATTGAATGCGCAGTTTTCTCAATATATTTACTATAGGGATGTCCGTTGTCACTTGTTTTTTAATATTGTGGAGGATACGGTAATTTTTTTAACTAAAGTGGTATGCTTTTATAAGAAAATTTTTAATTTGCCACAAAACAGGTTTAAATATATAATTTAAAACACAAGAATATTGCTAAGATTTTCGTCTTTGAATATCAATTAAGAAACGGCACATACAAAGAAGTAATCATTCCATAAATTTATGAGAAACCTACTCAACTTCGGCTCATCGGCATATAGTGCAGGACATTGATGATATTGTATGTTTTTAGCAATTACAAAAGTTGAAAGCTGAGAACGAACGCCTAAAGGCCGACAACAGATCACTTACACGCGTCATCAATAAACTTACCAACTCTGCAATGTAATAGGTAAAAACAACCAAAAATACAAGACACGTTTTGTTGCTGCTGTGTTTTCCGTTTTCAGTTTTTTATTTTATTGTTTTTTCTTTTAGTTTCGTTATTAGTGACATTCTGTCTTTGTATGTATTTTGACGTTAACAGCTTTGCCTATAGCACTAAATATATTATGGATTCGTGTGCATTTTTTTATACTCACCTTGTTCGTTCTGGCTATATAGCTTTGTTGTTTGACCAGTATTTATTTATAGATTTTCGTATTTGACTTTCATCATTATTAACAAAGTAATATCTACCATCATATCATTTACATATACTATTGATATACGATAATATGCAATTCACACCATACCATAACCAGTCACGAGAAGGAAAGTTAGTAATATTTTTTGTAAATTTGCTGTCAATTAGTTGTTTAAGAACCTGGAATTTCCTGAACAATATTTTTAGGATAGTGTCGAAGCATTTGAAAATGGTAAAAAGTAAAAACAAAATAGTAACAGGATGGAACCCCTTCTAAAAGAAATAAAATATAACAAAAATTTAAGGGTAAAAAAACTATTTATCATGATTTCCTTATGCTCATTATCATTTATTTTATTAAAAATACCTACTACAGCTTTGATATTTACAACTTAAATTTATCTGAAAAATTCAAATAACCCAGATTTTGGTTTTTTTTTACAAAAAATTTTTTTACGAAATTTGGTGAAAATTTTAACTTTTTATGTCCCAAATACACTGTAATTTTTTTATTCTATATTTTCATTTTCCCCTCTTATTTTGATTTAATATCGAAAAATTACCCCAATTTTCAATCAAAAAATTTCAAAATATCTGATTAGACTGCCATAGCTACATTCCGTAGTTCAAGGCAGAGAAAATCAAAAAAAGGAAAAGAAATAAATAAAGACGCCCTTACATTTAATTTCCAATCTCATTGATTTCTCTGCGGTGGGGCTTTCGGTAATATTTCAAAAGAAAAAAATCGATCTGTTCAAAATACCGATACGAGAGATCATATATTACAGCATATTCAAAAATAAAGCACCCTGATGATTTCGATAAAAATATTTCTTCTGTTCTTTTTTATTGTTCGTGTATTTTAAATACAGCTCCAAAAATTTTTCGTTCAAAAATTACTGCTCTATAGCGGACAGTATATCTCTGGAACGGCAAATCTGAAAAGTAAAATTCGAGTAGCGTTTTAAAAAAGAAGTACTACGTGATCGTTGACTGAAAATTGAATAATTTTAAAAAAGCAAAATGGCGTACATTTGAAAAAACTGTTCAAGTACTGACCTTTTTTCGACTTTTTTCAGTCACAAAAATTGTAGTATTTTTTTGGTCAAATTGTGTTGTCACAGTTCATAGAGAAAACCAAAAAAATCAAAATACATCAAAGTTTATTAAAATCGGCCAACTAGATCCGGAGATAACTGTCCGTCAGTTTTAAAAACGAAGTTTTTCTCAAAATTTTTAATCTCCTGATCTAGGTAAGTCGGTCGATTTTAATAAAACACGATGCATTTTGTTTGTTGTGGTCTTCTCTAATATTTTACCACAATTTGGCTAAACAAAAACATAATAAAATGTTTGTGACTAAAAAATTGAAAAAAAACTGTTTAGAACAAGTTTAGAATAATCTTTTTTAATGTCCGCCAGTTTGTTTTTTAAGAGTTTTAAAATTTTCTGGTAAACTATCACGTAAGGGCATTTCTTTTTAAAGACTATGTATTATCGAATTTTATGTTTCAGATTTGCCGCTCCAGAGATTAACTCTCCACCATGGAGCAATAATTTCTGGACGGAAAAGTTTTGGCACCATCTTTAAAATACACGAACAATAGAAAATAAGGGAATATAATTTTTTTTGTAATCTTCAAAATATGTATAATAATATAAAAGAAGTCTTATTGCAATATATGATAAATAAGATTTATTATCCAAATAAGATAAGACCAAAAAAAATCCACAAGGAAAATAATTCCTGCAGCTGGCTGTATACCATGTATCACAAAAAAGAGGTTAGATCTTTGTAAATGGGTATATTTAAAAACCCTTAAAAGGGCTACATCAAATTACGCGAATGTTTTCGGAATAATAATTCCATCATCAGGTTTAAAATGCAAGTTAACATGCCTGAGCCACCAAAATATCAGGGTAAAAACCTTTTAAAATACATACGGTTACAAAAGATTGTACATAATGTTGTTATTCATATTTGATGTTTAATATTAAATTAAATTTAACTTTAGGTAACATACACCCATGTCTTAGGTGAGTTCCAGTGTCCGGAGAGTAAACCTCTCCAAACTTCAGTTACCAGCTGAAGTCAGTTTGTAACCAACCACCCCTCCCCATCGCAGGACATGACGAATGAGGAAATGAGGAGGCTTTTATTTCTGAGCGTTACTTTGGATGCCCTAGGTAATGGCACGTACTCTGGTTTGCTTTGTGTGGTTAGGCCACCTAATTTTAGGGGTAGCTAGACGAGCTTTTCTCCCTGTGACTACGTTTTCACCAAATTTCGTTACAATTTTTTTTGTGGTAGATAAAAATGAAAAACCCAGAACTCTGTTATTTGAATTTTTGCATAAATTTTGATGTGTGAAAAAAGCGTAAAATAAAATATCTTGTATCTTTGTATAGCCTGCCTGTTTTAAACTTAATTATTGGTTTTAGACTTTAAGTTTTTGTTTAAACTTTAAATTATTTATCCTTTAATTTTTGTTATAGTTTCTTACTTTTAATCCGGTCAAGTTAGCATCAAAAATAGGGGTAAGGTTACATTAATTCGCACCTTAATAAAAATTTGCACGGTTGTTGGGAACCCTATTATACACAATTTGTCAATTATCCACATCAATCCGGAGTGTGGAAAAAAATTTATTCAAGGTCAAATGTTGCAAAAATCGGTTTTTTGAGTTTTTCAGCTAAACGGTAAGTTTTATAATAAAAATAGGTGAGACAAAAATGATTCATCATGCAATTATCTATAAAAATTGTTCCTACACATTTTTTCCTAAGAATCACCATTTCGAAGATACAGCGATGCAAAATGTTGAAAAAGTTGTATTCTTCATAATATGCACACGTTTCCGCGCCACCCGTGAGGTAGTGTACATGGCGCGTTTTTTTTTACGTGGTTTCCCCGGTAGGCCTATTCCACGATCTATTGTGCTTCTGTTAAGTTAAAAAGCTATTATATTAAATTGAAAATGGTACTATTGTAAATAACAAGAGCGGTGCAAGTAATGTGTAAATTAAGAAAATTATTCGTCTGATAGATACTCTTCTAATGGAACATAATCCAGACTGTCTTGCTCTTCTTCTTCTTTTTCTTCTTGCAGGGTACAAATAAATTGTTTAAAGAGCGATGCATCAGATATCCCCCCGTAACTTAATGGTTCTATTATCTAACGAATTGTTGCAAATATTTTGTAATTCGTCCAATGAAAATTGACAATCATCACTATTCTCGATGTGTGCAAATATTTCTTCCATTAAAAGATTCGTACTTTCAGATTGAGGACGACCGACTTGACCCCCCGTAGTCGGTCTCAAGAAGGCATTATGACAGTCTTTATGATATGTAGCTTCGGCAGCAACTAAATCATGTTCGAACCCAATTCGAGTAATAACTGCCTTTGCTACATGATCAGAACGAGTCTGGGCTATATTCAGGATTGTTTCTTTGAATGAAAGCGTTGTTACATGAAAAATTTTACGCCGATACTTCAGTGCTTTTCTGTTCTCTAGCTCTTCATTCAATTCATTGCCACAAAATAAGCAACACTTTTGAAAACAAAAAAATGATTCACTTACGCGAGCTCTAGTACGAGGTGGACTTATTTTTGATGTACTAGCTTGTTCTTCATCCTGTTTTCTTTTCAATGCAGCGATTGTACCCTTCCGAGTATAGTTTTTCCGACACTGCACATGAACTGTCACAGAAGTCTGACCTTTCAGGTATTCCGAGAATTCATCACCTCTTTCAATACTTGCATTAATTAATGTCTGTAGGCCACGATCAACAGTAACTGTTTCACTTTAGGTCAAATGTTTATTACAAATAAAGCACAACTCCGACATTTCTATTACAAACACAAAACTGCACAAATTGTTTGAAAATACAAGCGATAACTACGTGTTCTTACTACGAAGGAATGCTTGAGACTAATACTATTCTATCTAGCAAGGCCCTTCAAAAAGGAGCAGGTATACGAACGTCGCCACGTGGACAATGGAATAGCAGACAGATGTTGCTCAAGGCCGTACGGTCATATAAAATGAGGGACTGGTTCTTTTTCGAGTTTATATTTTTATAACTGTATAATATGTATGTATACGCTACGAAAATAAATATTTTTACTTATATTATCGCTCTGTAAAGTATACTACGGTAATTGACATGCATATTATGAAGAATACAACTTTTTCAACATTTTGCATCGCTGTATCTTCGAAATGGTGATTCTTAGGAAAAAATGTGTAGGAACAATTTTTATAGATCATTGCATGATGAATCATTTTTGTCTCACCTATTTTTATTATAAAACTTACCGTTTAGCTGAAAAACTCAAAAAACCGATTTTTGCAACATTTGACCTTGAATAAATTTTTTTCCACACTCGGGATTGATGTGGATAATTGACAAATTGTGTATAATAGGGTTCCCAACAATCATGCCAATTTTTAGGAAGGTGCGAATTAATGTAACCTTCAATGTCTATTTTGACCGGAGTATTTACAATTAGGCGAGGCAACGAAGCACTAAGCCTACCAATTTTCCACAGCAAGATGCATCCCTATGCAACTTTTGAATTCGACTACGCATAAGAAAACAGAAAATGCATTTCCAAATTGCATAGAAAATGAAAAATTTGCAACTCCGAAAATATCGACAGGAATCAGATCAATTTTGTTACTCAGGGGTTTTCAAGTGGACCTCGTCTCATGGATTATGTTAGCATTATAAATCAGTCCATGGTTATTCTCGGTGTTTT